TGTGTTTGTGTATGTGTAAAATGCAGTCCCTCTCTGGGCAGTAATTTACAGCAATGACTCCATATGGCAGAAGGAGCAAACTTTTGATGGGGCAGCTAGCTATACCTGATATGAGGAAAGGGCATTAAGTGACAGATCAGGTGACACACATTAAGAATCTAAGCTCTTAGAGAAATGAGAGAGCGTTTCTGGTGGCCAGGACACATGGAGCCCCTCTCGGAGGCACTATGGCTAGTGGAGGTGCCCTCTGGGGACAGCAGGGTGTCAAAGGCTCTAAGTCTAAGCAGAAAGTTTGGATTCTAAGGTCCAGATGAGGGTGAGGTTTGCGCATTGAAGATGAAGGAGATGAAGATCAGGGCAGAGTAAATAGGTGTCACCAGGAGGTCAGTATAATGATTAGCAACTGTAGTTGATGTGGTAAAGCAGAGAGGTTTGCAGTAGCCCTTGGAAAGGCCTGAGTAGAGGGACATAGGATGAAAGGCATGACCCGTTTGTCGGTTAGATAATCTGGTCACACCCTGGTTTGACCATTTACAATGACATCTTGAGCAAATGACTTAAACTCCCCGAGTTTCAATTTCTTTGTTTAAAAAAGGGGATTGTTAATACCCTACCACACAGGGTGGTGGTAAGGATTAAGTTTGGTAACAGCTATAAGATGTTAGCACCCAGCGGGAGCTCAGGACTGGGACCCTGTGCCGTTCTCACCTGGATTATTGCAAAGGTCTTCTTTTCACCTTTCAGGACCTGCTGCTTTTCACAGTTGATTCTCAGGGCAGCATTCGTGATGCTTTTCAAACATATATCAGCCAAGTCTTACTCAGATGAAAGTTAAAATTCCTACACCTGTGTAAGGCCCCACGTGATCTGGCTGCCCCTGTGTTGGTGTCTTGCTGTTTCCTCTGCCTGCAACCCTCTTTTCTCAGAAATCTCCATGGTTGTCTCCCTCATCTCTGTTAACAGAAAAGCCAAAAATCTGTAAAATATTTTAGAGAAGTTTATCCTGAGGCCATAATGAGTTACTGTAGCCTACAGAAAGCACAAACCCAAGAAGCCTTGAGTAAGTGGTGCTGAGGTGGTTGGGTCCCCGTGCGGTTTTATAGATTTTAGGGAGACAGGCATTACAGGCAAAGATGGAAATCAATACCTGTAAGGTAATTGTTAGTTCTGCTAAAAACATATGAGACCCCTGAAAGTGGGGGAGGGGTGTGGTATTCTGACATATGTATTGGTTTTCATACATGGTTCCTGGGTCATAACCCCATTCCCCGTGCTATAGTCTTGCTATAATGTTGGGGTTTTTAGGCTTCTAGGGCAGTCCTCAAGAAACAGTCTCTCTCCTGCCTTCCTTTCCCTTGCCCCAAGGCACGATTCTAATGTTTCCTGGCCTGACTGTGGGCCTTAAGAACTTCCCATGAGGCTGGGCGCAGTAGCTCATGCTTGTAAACCCAGCCGTTTGGGAGGCCAAGGTGGGTGGATCACTTGAAGTCAGGAGTTCAAGACCAGCCTGACCGACATGGTGAAATCCTGTCTCTCCTAAAAACAGAAAAATTATCCGGGTGTGATTGTGGGCACTTGTAATCCCAGCTACTCGGAGGCTGAGGCAGGAAGAATTGGTTGAACCCGGGAGGTGGAGGTTGCAGTGAACCGAGATTGTGCCATTGCATTCCAACCTGGGCAACAGAGCGAGACTCTGTTTAAAAAAAAAACCTTCCGATGAGAGGCTCCCACCCTATAGCCTGGGGGAAGGCGTGCTGACGTCAAGAAGCTTCTATAAAAACCCAAGAGGACAGGGTTTGGTGAGCTTTCCGATAGCTGAACTGGAGGAGGTTCCTGGAGGGCTGCACAACCAGGGAGAGCATGGAAGCTCTGCCTCCCTTCCCCCATGCCTTGCTCTACACATCTCTTCATCTGTATGCTCTGCAGCGTCCTTTATCATAAACCAGTAAATGTAAGTAGGCATTTCTCTGAGTTCTATGAGCCGCTCCAGCAAATTAATTGAACCCACAGAGAGGGGGAACCCCAATTGAAGCTGGTTGATCAGACGTTCTGGAGGCCTGGACTTGTCACTGGTGGAGCAGGGGATGTCTTGGACCCTAAGCCCTCAATCTGTGGGATCTGACACTATTTCCAGGTAGATAGTATTGGAACTGAATTGGAGGACACCAAGCTGGTGTTGCTGCTTGGTGTGTGGGGGAAAAGAGTCCCATACATATGGTCACATAAGTCATCTTCTGTGTTGATTTTGTGGTTCGAGAACAGAGAATAGATGGTTAGAGAGAGTTTTTCCCTACATAGGAGTTTGGGGTTGAGGGTTTGGGGAGGGCTGAGGGCACCTTACAAGTCATAGGTGCATTTTAGGGACTCTATCTGACAGTAGCTGAGAGAGTTAAGCTATTGTCTACTGACTTGAAGTCTGCAGGAAGAAGTATCTGAGTTAAGATAAGGAGGCTGTGGGCGCCAAGGTCCTTCGCTGAGTGGTTGAAGCCTCATAGATAGCAGCCCTCAGGGTGCACAGACAGTGATTGTCTCTTCTCAGACCTTTAGTTGTCTGATGCTCAGTTAATTTCTCCGAGATCTTGGAAAGACCTAGCAAGGGAAGGCATTAATATAGATTCTCTAGAGATGCAGGTTTCCCTCACCAAAGATGGCTTTGCAGTCTGAAGGTTCTGTGGCAGCCATTTCCAAGTATGTCAAAAAAATGTATTTGGGGGTAAAACATTTTAATTTCCTTCAGAGTCAGTGATCTGTCATGTGATACTATACCAGAGTCAGGTTGGAAATTAAGCTGCAGTATACTGGGTTAATTAAAAACCCCCATTTAACGAGACTTTACTGCTTATAGGGTATGACTTAATCTTGGGCTTTCATGGCCTCAGGTATTGTGTATCATTTGGTATCTTCTTGCCACAAACGGTCTGTTTTGTCAGTCTTATGATCTCTATTTTAACTTGAATGCTGGTCAGTGATGCCTAAACCCCAAAGGGATGGATATGATGAGGGTGTAACTTCTCTTCCGATCATGGCTGAGAATTCCATTTTTCAGGTTTCTTGGGGATGCCTATGGCCAAATAGGAGTCCATTTACTTGGTTGGTGGTGGGCTTAGGATTTTATTTAATTTTTTTGAGATGGAGCTTTGCTCTTGTTGCCCAGGCTGCAGTGCAATGGCACGATCTCTGCTCACTGCAACCTCCGCCTCCCGGGTTCAAGAGATTCTCCTGCCTCAGCCTCCCAAGTAGCTGGGATTATAGGTGCCCGCCACCACACCTGTCTGATTTTGTATTTTTAGTAGAGATGAGTTTTCTCCATGTTGGTCAGGTTGGTCTTGAACTCCCGACCTCAGGTGATCCATCTGCCTCTGCCTTCCAAACTGCTGGGATTACAGGCATGAGTCACTGCGGTCTGCCCAGGATTTTGTTTTTGGTTTACATCTCCTTCCAACTTTTGCTCAAATGTCTTCTCAGTGAGGCTTTCTCTGACCATCTGAGTTAAATCTCCACCTCACCCACCCCAAGCTGTCCCTATCCCTCTTCCCTACTTTAACTGTCTGCGTATCAGTTATCTCCTTGCAAAGCACCACATAATTTATGTTGTTTGCCTCGGTTATTTATCCTCACTAGAGGGTGAGTGCTGGAGGGTTAGGGATTTCTGGCTCGTTTCTCTACTGCTGTATCTGCAGTCTGGTTCACAGTAGGCAATCAGCATTTGCTGAATGAATGAACCTATCCGATGAGTATTGGTGTATGTCTTCTCACAGGCCCTGGGGCCACCACAAAGTAGAACTCAGCCTTCCCTGTTCATTTCCTCACCTCCAACTCCCTTAGACTGCCAAGACTTAGATCCTTTTGAGTATATATATGTTTTCTATATATACATATATATGTTTTCTACATAAACGTTTTTATATATATGTATTTTTCTATGTAAACATGTTTTCTATATATACATAAGTTTTATACATACATATATGTTATATATATACATAATATGTTTTATATATTCACATATATATATTGCATATATGTATATATTAAAAAAAAACCTGGGAGAAACATTGAATTTGAAACCACCAAATCTCAGCAAGCCTTGAAATCTAACACTCAGTTTAAGGAAACACAGAGCAAAGAGGAGAACATTGAATGCCACCGTGAAGAAGTCATGAGCCAGGCTCAGAATGTAAGCCATTCCACAGGAGAAATGACAGTTTTCTCAACAAATATATGTCATGGAAGAGAAAACATAAGGGAGCAAGGAACTATTACAGATAGGAAAGAATTGAAAATGGCATATCATCCAAACAAACTGTGCCGTCCTTGATTGGATCCTCTTTCAAGCAGGTTAGTGTAAAAGGCATTATTGAGAGAATTGGTAAAAATTTAAAAGTGGATTGGAGATTAGGGGATAATGGCATTGTGGTCATATTTAGTTATATATATTCATATATTCTCTGGCAGAACCTGGTGTGTGTGTGTCTGTCTGTGTGCGTGTGTCTCATAATATAGAGAATTTGAGGGTCTACGTTCTCAATTCTTCCAGGGGTGGTACATAGCTAATTCTAGATGCCAGGGGAGTAAGTTATTTCTTTGCATGCAATGGAGGTCTTAGAACATTTAGACTTAATTTTTTGTTGGCTCGCCAGTTGTAAAAAGCCGGTAGAAGGAAACTGGTATGAAGTCTGGCATTTGCTTTAAATTACTCCAGGCAAAAAAGGAAGCCGTGTAGTAAAGATTAGGAGGAGGTGAGACAGTTCTTCTTTCTGAGGAGGTGACAGGCCCATGTGCTGTTTTCTCTGCCTCTCTGTAGCACAGGGGTGGGGTGTAGTGTAGGGGTGTGGAGGAAAGAGTGGGTGGCTATGTAGCTGGGGAGGGGTGCAGTGTTTTTACCGTTCTCTTATAGGCCCTTTCTGTGCTCGCCTCTGCTCAACGCTCATTTACCAAGCGGAGTGCAGACTGTGTGGTAAGCATATGAGAGTTGCCTGCTGGGGCTGGGCTCATAGTGGGGAGTGGGCATTATACAGAAGGGGAACTCATGGGACATGAAAGACCTACTTTTTGCCAGGTACCTGTCAAATAGGAAGGCAAATATTTCTGTTTTTTTTTTTTTTCTTCCTTATTGTTACCGTGAGCCGGAGTCTTGCTCTGTCGCCAGGCTGGAGTGCAGTGGTGCAATCTCGGCTCACGGTAACCTTCAGGAAGGCAAATTTTTCTACAAGTATATGTCTGTCTGTCTGTCTGTCCGTGGGGTGCAATGTTGAAGACAGTAGCAAATGGCTCATGATTTCCCTTTGCCATGGCTGTGTCAGTCCGGAGTTCAGAGCTCTCCTAATCAGTTCCGAGTGGTTGACTCTGGTCAGGGACTGCTGCCTGACCTCTTGGTGGTGGGGACAACAGCCCCCACAAAGTTCTGTTCTCCAGGCTCTTAGAAAACCTCTGGGGAAATTTACTCAGGGAAATGTTCTGAGGACTTCATTATCTTCTCCATCAGTGCTGCCTGGCTGGAAAAAGATGTAATCTCCGGTAAAAGACCGCTGGCAGGACTGAAAGCCCCTTTATCTTCAGGGCTTTGCTCTGGGCAGGATCTCCCCACCCCGCCATGAGCCCTGCAGGTGGGCCTGTCCATGAGGAAACATTTGCAAGCAGTCACAGCCTCTCAGACACTGCAGGCCTCTCATGGCTTCCTTGCTTTCCCTCTCTTCTCAGACTGACGAGCTACAAGTCGGTTTCTTGTTGCATATCATGCTTCCGACCTTTGCTGTGCTTTTGAGCAAAATAATGACTTGTCAGAAATGTTTTGACAAAATGATTAATGCTTTGACCCATGTTGGCTCTCACTTGGTAGAGCTCAGTGGGTAGGAGCTGGGGTGTTGGAGCCAGACAGCCTGAGCAAGCTCCTCTGGGGACTCTGTGAAGCGTATGGTGATACCAGTCCTGGCCTTGGGCACTATTAATTCCTGCAGCAGCAGGAATTAAATGAGCTTCACCAAATTACAGGAACTTTACTGCCTATAAATTGCATAGCGCATAGTAAAAGCTCAATAATTACTAGCTAAAGTGATAAAATTTACCTATCATTAAATTGTCAGCATAGCCCTCCAGAGGTAACCTTTTAAGTATTGTTGTCCTTCACAGATGTAGACACAAGGTTCACAGAAATTGACTAACTGGTCTAACATAACTTACAGTATAAAAGCCAGGGCTTCCATCTAGGTTTTTGAGAATAGAGCCTGAGCGAGCTGTTTCTCCAAAGCCAACGCTTCTCAAATTATTGGTGGCGAAGAACCAAATTTTTTCCCAGTTTCTGTCACACCAATAGTTTTGTAAAATACAATAAAAATGCATTCTGGAAGAATGAAATGAGGAAAAAGGACATTTGAAATAAAAGCCCCATTTTAAAAAGTATTGATTTAACAGGCATACTATTACTCTTTAAAATTACTGTAAAAGTTAGGCTGGGCACGGTGGCTCACGCCTGTAATCCTAGCACTTTGGGAGGCCGAGGTGGGTGGATTACCTGAGGGTCAGGAGTTCAAGACCAGCCTGGCCATCATGGTGAAACCCCATCTTAAAAAAAAAAGAAAAGAAAAAAAATTACTGTAAAAGTTGCTTACACTCCGCTTCTGTACTTTTCTCATCTTGTATCTTGAAACGCTTTCTCGGCCTAGCACTTCTCTGCAGATCTCACTTTCAGTAGCACTGTCCTCAGCTACCTGTTTCTCATCACTTGCCTGAGAAGCAGTTGCCTGGGATGCTTATTAAATGTAGATTTCTGACCTCCCCGCAATGTTCCCTCAATGCCCCCCTCCATTCTGAATCGGAAGGATTGAGACAGAATTCAGGAACCCACATTTTGACACATGATTTTAATACTTTGGATGTGCTCTACATCTGAGAATCACTGTGTTCCACACTGTTGCCTCCCCTCTGCAGGTAATAGATAAGAGAGTAAGTAGTGAAGTGAGTGCCATGTTTTATTCCAGCCCCCCTTCTTGCCCCCCTTCTTTTCTCAAAAAATTTTTTTCAAAGGCTTCCTTTCTGTAAAAGCTCACTGACAGAACCTACTTTCCACACGCAGTGCACTTCATCAAACAGATGTCGAGTGCAAACTGCAGGCTGGGTAGGTAGAGAGCAGACCACAAGATGCTCGCAAGCAGTTGAGAGTGAGTATAGGTAGAAAAAGGGCAGACCTAGGGCATTTCTGTGCATAAAGGTGGGGCAGAAGACGAGGAGCCAGCAATGAGAGCAGTCAGGCATTACCGGTAAGGTGGGGAAAAGCCAGGAGAAGTGTAGGTTTTGGAAGCTAGGTGAAGAGTACTCATCAAGGAGGAGGAAGTGATGGACTGCTGGTGGGTTGGGTAAGATGAAGACTGAGCACTGACCACTTGGCTAGCAACGTGGAGGTCATAGAGATCCTTGTGACTCTGACAAGATCAGGTTCATGAAGATAGGGGAGGCCTGGCTGGAGTGGGTTCAAGTGAGAGTGGGCAGATAGCCATCGCAAACAAGACTATGGACAAGGAGTTTTACTGTAAAGGAAACAGAAATAAGGCATGTTAAGGAAGATAAATGAGGTCAAGAGGTTTAGGGTCAGGGCAGTGAAATGGAGTTTATTTAGAACTCATGCAATGAATGGCTCAATATGTGACTTTTCTAAAGTCATCTATCTTTTAGTTAATTTCTTGAGTAAAACAGAAACAATTATCAGTCGTAACTTTTTTCTTCAAACTCTTTAAAACTCTCCCCACTCCCAAACTATATCATTGTCTAAGAAGAAAGGAGTTTGAAAATCAGTCTTGTTGCATAGCTTAATTTGAATACCTATAAAAAATGACATTGCGTTTTTTTCATGTTTGCTGAATCTCTTTTTTGGCTGGAGGATTTTAAAGTAGATTTTTAAAGTATACTTCATCTCTCACTATTTCACATGGACTTTAAAAAAATATAACCACAATGCTTTTATATACCTAACATAATTAATAATAATTTCTTAATATCATATAATAATCTATGTTCAAATATCCCTATTGGTTCCCAAGGTTTTTTTCAGACCAAGATCCAGACAAGATCTACATATTACATATTATTATATCTGTGAAGCATTTGTTTTTTATTCCCATTTACTTGTTGATGAAACCAGTTCAGTTGTCCCATAGGACGTCCCGCCTTCTGGATTTGTCTGATAATTTTCCTATGGTGTTATTTAACTTGTGTGCTTCTTTCTTCTGTGTTTCCTACAAACTGGAATTGTGCGTGAAGGCTTGATAATATACAGATTAAATGTTTTAGACAAGAAGTTTTCATAGGTGGTTAGCCAGGGGTGGTGGTGTGTGCCTGTGATCCCAGCTACTCAGGAGGCTGAGTGGGAGAATCGCTTAAACCTGGGAGGTTGAGGTTGTGGAGAGAGGAGATTGCACCACTGCACTCCAGCCTGGGTGACAAAGTGAGACCTTTTCTCTTAAAAAAAAAAAAAAAGAATTAGGTGGTGCCATGCGCCTCATATCATATCACATCAGAAGGCACATACTGTGTAGGTGTCTCACTATTAATGATGCTAAGACTGATCAGGGTCCGGTGGTGGCTGCTTGACTCATAAGACGTGTTTTGTTTTTGCTTTTTAAGATAGTAGAACACCAGTGTGTCTATATGCTGATGGGAGTAATCTTTTAGAGAGGGATACTTAATGAAAAAGAAAAAAAAAAGGAGAGGTTTTCTAGAATAACTTTCTTAAGTAAACAGTAATATGTGGGAACTAGTGGACAAGTGTTGGTTATTCCAGGTGTTGGACATAGCTAGTTCATCTATAGTAACGAGGCATATGGGCATAAATGCAGATAAAGCGGGCTGTGTTAGGGGCTGTGAGGAAGTTCTAATCTGGCAGCTTTGTTTTCTCTAGGAACAAGTAGCAAATTCATCACAGGAGAGTCAGATTAAAAGGAGGAAGTCAAATAGTGGGTATGCGCCAGATGAATAGACTGGAAAAGTAGCCTATGATTTCTGAGAAGCATTAAGGTCCTCCTGGCAGTTAGAGATCATGCATTCGAAGTGAGATCAGTAAGCACTGTTGTGCAATTTTTTCTCTAGCCATGTTCAGTTGCATGTTTGCCGGCTGGATTTAACCAGGATTGGGTTTTAGCCAATCATGTGTGATAAGAGAGGGCAAGGGACTCATTTTAATGATTTTGACCATGGAATTTCAGCTGTGTAAGAAGGGAAGTAAGAATATGAGGAAAGTGAGGAACAGTGACAGGTGGTAGAATTAACCACAGAAGCTTGTTGGAGTTGGGGTACTAGCTGGAATAAGCTGCATAGACAGGAGTGGTAATTGGAGATGGGATGCCTGAACTCAAGGTTATGGAAGGTATTTTTGGGAAATAACAAGATCAGAGATATGATTGGGAGTGAGTGGCCATGGTCGCAATCACTGGGGTAGAGGAGGTCAAAGAACTGTGAGGCCAGAGAACTGGAATATCCTATAGATTCTGGCTATTAATATCACTAGGAGTTACAACAGAAACAGTGTTGGAGCTAAAATATTTAGGCAATGAAGCACAGTATTTTGGGTGGGGGCGAAGATGACTACAACCAGGTAAGTGGGGTCATAGGTAGTGTTGTCCTGTGAGGATGAAATGTGTTGATGATGCACATGAGGCTCTTCACTTTGAGCCTGACAAATAGCATGTGCTCAACAAGTGATAGAGGTTCTCCATCTGAGTGTACGTGACTCCAGTGCATACAGCTTAAAACACTGGGTTATTTATTTTTTTGTTTTTGAGATGGGGTCTCGCTCTGTTGCTCAGGCTGGAGTGCAGTAATACAATCTCAGCTCACTACAACCTCTGCCTCCTGAGTTCAGCACCTCAGCCTCCCAAGTAGCTGGGACTACAAGTGTGTGCCATCACGCCCAGCTAATTTTTGTATTTTTAGGAGAGATGGGGTTTCACCATTTTGGCCAGGCTGGTCTTGAACTCCTGACCTCAAGTGATCTGCCCGCCTTGGCCTCCCAAAGTGCTGGGATTACAGGTGTGAGCCACCATGCCCAGCTGTAACACTGGATTTATTTTTACAGGGAAGTTGATTTTTCCTTAATTTTAAGATATTTCTAAGAGGCAAGCTGCTCGCACAGTTGTGTGTGGTCTGGGGCGGTAGTAAATTCTCTGTCATTTAGCGTATCCAACAGACAAAATGAACATTTGCAATGATGGTGCTGTAAAAGAGATTCTGGCAACTGCAGGTGATAGGTGGGTAAGTGGGAGGGGTGATCCTAGCAATTGAAGGCAGTGGGCAGTGAGGAGGGATGGTGTCAGGAGCTAGCTTCATTCTTGCATTCAGACATGACTGAGCATTTCCTAGTTGTGGCCCAAGAGCTCTCAATCTGGTTGGGACAGATTTGCAAACAGACAAATGTCACGAAGTTTGATGAGGGGAAGAATGGGCACCGTGGAGCCATGCTGATCTCTGTGGGGCCAAGGAAGGCTTGAGAGTTAAGGAGCACTTGAGCTGGTGCTGGAAGCTGAGTGGGCATGGCCCTATGGGAACAGGACAGGAGAGGACACTGCTGAAGAACATCTTGTACAGAGCTGCAAAGGCATGAAAGAGTCTCCGACATTTAAAGTTTCATTCCACTTAATCTGGGTAAATTACTTATTTTCCCTGTCTCAGTCTCACTGTAAAAATGGGGGTAGTGAGGGTATCCACAGGGATGGTGACTATTGTAATCTCTTTGAGTGGATTATTTTTTTCTTTGAGATGGAGTCTCACTCTGTTGCCCAGGCTGGAGTGCGGTGCTGGAATCTCAGCTCACTGCAACCTCCACCTCCTGGGTTTACATGATTCTCCTACATCAGCCTCCTGAGTAGCTGGGATTACAGGTGCATGCCACCATGCCTGGATAATTTTGTATTTTTAGTAGAGACGGGGTTTCACCATGTTGGCCAGGCTGGTCGAAAACTCCTGACCTCAAGTGATCTATCTGCCTCGGCCACCCAAAGTGCTGGGATTGCAGGTACGTGCTACCTCACCTGGCCGAGTGGATTATCTTACCTGATTCTGTAAGTCACACTGTGAGGTAGGACTTATTATTATTATTATTATTATTTCCATTTTACAGATAAAGATGCCTTAACTCTTGAATCTTAAGAGGTTGAGTAACTTGCTGCAGGTCATATACCTGGTGAAAGGCAGTTTGGGTTCTTGTCTTGATCAGTCTGATTCCAAAGCTTGTATTATTCATTCCTAAGCTATAGTCAGTGCTTGGCACATAGCTAGTGCTAAGTAAATGGTAGCTGTTATTGCCAGGATTGCTAAAGTTTCTCACCCAGAAAGTTGAGGGTTCCTTATCACTTCTACAGAGAGTTGAAGATCAGTAGTGCTGCTATCTCCTCATCAGCAGGGACTATTTGTGGAAAGTCCTCATCACTTATGATAAATCTAGATAGCTGCACCACTTTTGTTTCAATCGGTTGATTTTTGGAAATTAAAAGTAGAGAGTGATTTTTATTTTCTTTGAGAGCAAGGTTTTCTGAACAGATGCAGTTGACGTGAGGGAGGAAGAGCTGGGCTTGATGCAGTCTTCTGATGCCTGTGGGCTGTATCAAACAAAAAGTTTTATACCCTGGCTGCCAGCTGGAGGATGGCAGCAAACCAGCATTCACAGGCAAGAGGTGTCATCCAAAAGTCTGGTGACTGCCCACAGTGTTTTCTATAGGGGGCTAAGAAAGAGCCTCTTCCACGAGTGATGCCAGAAGTAAGAGCTGTCAACCCTTCACCCATTTATTCATTCAACAAATACATACTGCGTGCTTGTTACATGCCAGACACTCATCTAGTGTCTAGAGATACTCACTGGAAGTAATAGAGAAGAAGGTTGATAAGATTCCTATTTATGAAGCTTATATTTTTAGCGGAATTAAATACTAAATGAATGCCTGTATAATCACAAACCGTCATGCCACAAAGGAAATTCATGCCATAAAAATGTCAGAGGGATAACTATCAGAGAAATTTTCTGGCTCTTCCCAGGATGCTGCCCAGAAACCTGTTCTTTGAGTTGATGAGGAGAGCCCCAAATGTTTTGACAAAGGACAGAGTGGCACTTTTCATTTTTTCCCTGGTAGTCATACCTAGGGCTTGTCTGCCTGCCTACCTCCTGGTCATGAACAGGTGGGGTTCTCCCAACCTGAACTCCTAGCCTTCAATAGAGGATTTTCTCTTGGTTCGTGGGGTGAAGTCAAGTATGTCCATATGGCTTCCTCTTAGTTCT